GCCACTTTACGATATGTGCTTGAATCATGACTCTCAACAGATGTTTGGCCCTTTCCTATCAAATACAGGTGCCAAGAGCACATTGCACCTACGGCAAGACCAAGAGCAAAGGCGATAATGTATATGAGCATAAAAACGACTTGGGGTGTTCGATGTGGCCACTAAGACTAGTTAGTAGACAAATATCATGCGAGTTTAAGGTAAACGTACGTAGAATGTCATCCCAAATACCTCCCAAGCCGTATTTGCACCGAGAACAAGGAAACACATGGAACACACAATCAAATAAACCCTGAACAGCTCCATTGAGACCTTATGTAAAGGATGAACGACAAGCTTACATAAATAATATGAAGTGCCTTTCGTTATTGATTCCGACGCATTGGTTAATCCCTAAGGTCGCTCAATGACAGACAAGATGGGTACAAGGATATTCTTACACTGTAAAGGGGATTAGTGGTCATTGATATACAGCAGAGAAGTGAGCTTACAGGACAATGATGGTCGTACTTGAGCACACAGCGCTTACAGATCCTACAGTGGTGAGTACGCTGTGCGGGAAAGAGACTTAGCATAGATTAACAAGGTTAGAATGAAATTATTCCTTACCTCAGGCTTGACACTTCCACATTTCATGCACTTTCCTACTCTGCCTGTCTCCAATTCGAGGCCAGGTATAAAGTTACTCCCGCAACTTCGTGAGTATGTCGGGGCCGTTAACCAACGAGACCAACGAGTTTGCTGAGGGTGCCTTCTTTGACCCGTAATGCTAAAATCTTCGTCCGCGAACCCGGGCGGTATTGTGATTGCCCAATAATAATTCGCAACAGTGTTCAGGGCAAGAAGGGCACATATGGGCGTCGACAACAACCTAAAACGCAGAGTTGGTGCGATAACATCGACTAAAGCGCGATGAATGGTTAGCTAGCACCTCACCATGCCGAAGGTGAGACAACTCACAGAATGTGAAGATGCCAGTACCAATCAGAACGATTGCAATTGCAATGAACAATGGTCCGACCGCGCCAGTAAGCCTTTCTGCTGATCTTTCCACGCATTTGAAGCAGCGAAATACCTGCCGCGTGAACCACATTTGCGATATGGTAGGGTCCGAGAGGCTGCGCACCTATCGGGCTGAGGAAGACGGTAGACTTCGGCAAGATATAATTGACTTTTTATAATATTCAGATGTTATGGAGCTTTCACTGGCACACATGGATAAACAACGAATGGCATATCGTGCAGACGTATGCTATAAAGAACGGAAGCAAGGACAGGAGGAAGCACCACA